ATTCTGGCCATTTGTTGTTATTAATAAATTGAATATATATATCTATATATATTTCTAACGCTTTTATTCATATAAAATTACTAAAAAAATTAAAAAATAAAATAAAAAATAAGTAAGTACCCTTAATAGAAATAGATAGAATAGATAGATAAATAAAAAAATAGATAATCTATGTGGTCGGTGGATTTAACCTGGTTGTTCTCCATAAACTTTTAATGAACTCTGAATGTATTGAAATTGAAAAAATTTATAATCAGGGTACAATGGTGAAAAGTATGAACCAGGCAGAAGGAATCATCGCAGACCCCATAAGGTACACATATTCCTGATCAGGACGATGGGCTGAGTCGATATAGCCCTGTCCGTCTGTTCAAATATTAGAGACTTGCGCTGGCAAATGCATGCATATTCATGTTATAATCATAATCTAAAAGTTTCATGAAGTACATCCACAAAAAAGTTATTGAAATTCCCATAGTAAGCCACCAGTGCAGTGCACTGCAGCCAATGCTTGTTAATGCGTGCGTGCGTATGTCTGTATGTGTGCGTGTGTGTGTGCATGTGCGAATAATTATTGAAATATCAGTTGCTCGAAGGGTGCAGGGGATCTCGTAGTCGATCAGTCTCGAGTAGAGCTTTCTTAATTTTTTTTTTTAACTTCACCACACCTCAAACGAACCTAACGTGAACATGTCCCTTCTTGATTTTATATTTTCAATAGACCATAGTATTGTATTACACAGTGAAAAGGTTTAAGACAGTAACGCTTCTATTAAACATTCCACCAGAAGCTTATTTCTTTTCGAGTACTTTCCATAGTAGAAACTAGCCGCAATTCGATAATCTCCGAAGAACAAAAAAGTTGGCACCAGATCGTCTTTTAACTCCCAGTCCTGTATATAGTAATAGCCCGGATATATGGGACAGCTTCGGGCAAAGTTTCCGGTTTTCAGCATGCTGTTGTACCAGCGACTATAAATGGAGTTCTGGGACCCTTTGAGCAGAGCACAGTAGTTGATATCATGCTGAAATACGCTCTGATACGATGTGCTTTTGGACTGGCGAACTTCAAAACTAAGATGACCCTTAAGCCCTTCCTTCAGTACACCTACTAGATATATATCAATTTTGACCTTACTATTAATTATTTCCATTGAAAAATTGGAGAATACATCATGTTTGAATGTACAGTTTCCCGTTTGGAAAATCACTTTAGTCGCCTTCAAATATAATTCATATTAGTTTCATGTAATGAAAAGTGTTCACTGCGGAGCTTACCAATATTGCCGAAAAAAATATTACCATAAACAGTCCGATAGTCTTTAGAAACATTTCGAGAGACACCGATGTACACTTTTCGGATGAACTATTTTAGCTATTTGAGCTTGCTAATGGATTCCGTATCAGCTACATTGATTTTGACATTAACTGGTTCAGTGCGTTTTTGATACATTAGCAAATATTACATTAGTAAATCCGATATTGTTAAGAGATAACAACAGAGGGAAAGTGCACGACCTATACAGACTTGATTCCCGGATTGAAAGATTATCATTGTTAGATATAACTTGATATATATAAGTAATTACTATATAAAACTCATGTAAATTATAAAAATGTTTCTTTTCATATAAAAACAAGTAAGAAGGCTCTAGTCGAGACTGATCGACTAGGAGATACCCAGAGCCCCCCAAGCTAATATTCTACTCATTCTGCACTTTTATGCACACATGCACGTATAATACCGCGCTCGGCTGACTGCGCAGTTAGCAGCGGCAGCGCTTAGGATGCGCTGCAGAATGGGCAAAATTATCAGAATTTACTTGTTCAATAATTTCTCTTGTAAATGGACAATCTTAATGAAACTTTCAGAGGGTGATCATATGGTTAATATATGTGTACATTCCAAAGCACAAGTCTCTAGTACTTGAAATACGTGGTATCCAAAATTTGTAAACGACAAAATCTTTGTGTCGATCAACTGTATATAGATACACAGTAAATCTGGGTCTCTAGGTCTAAAAGTGTTCAAATTAGTCTGAGAAAACAAAATCAATTTTTCGATTATTCTTAAAAAGTTAAATAAAAATATGATAAACTTATACTGCGTATGGTACACACGAGTATGCATGCCAAATTTCTCTCTAGCTCTTATAACTTTTGAGATCGGCGCACTCATACGGACGGACGGACGGACAGACGGACAGGGCTATGTCGATTCAGCTCGCCGTGCTAATCAAGAATATATATATACTTTATGGGGTCTGCGATGATTCTGCCCGTTACATACTTTTTCACAAAACCATTATACCCTGATTTAGACTGATTAGCCTGTTGACTACAAACTTTCGAAAGGAAACGAAGCACACATTTATAACCGGATTTTATTCCCTTCCATTACTATTACTTATAAAATCATTTCACAATCATGAAGGCTCTACCTAAAGAAGCCATCTCGCTCTTCCTCAACAGCAATCGGGACTACTTTCAGGAACAGCCAGGCACGTCTCTCTTCTCTCTCTCACTCCCTCATTCTTTCCATTTTTTCTCCCTCTCCCTCTCTTAATTGCGACTATATAGTTAGCTTGATTTGAGTAGTGCAAAGATTTTCATTTCGACTACAAAGTCCTCGTGCTTCGTCTTTAGTTTCCCGAAGAACATGTGGCAATTGACACGATAGTCGCCAGCATATAAATACTGAGGCACCATGTGGGCTTCCATCCTCCAGTTCCGCAGAAAGTAATGCCCCTCGGTCACGGGGCAGTTGTACATGAAGTTGCCATGCTCCAACATGCTCTGGAACCAGGTCTTGAATATATTATTATGTATGGCTGACACAACGCCGCAAACGTCTACTATATGGGCGAAGACGCTTTGGTAATGCTTCGATTTGCCTAGGCTGATAGAAAAGTCAATGTGCATTTTGAGTCCACGCGTTAAAGGCTTTCTGATCATCATGTCCAGATTGAGCGTGTTATTAATGATGCTCATGTTGAAGTTATCAAAATACTTATGGCTGTACTTAGACTCTCCGGCCTGGATGATCACGCTAGACTTAATAGCAAGTAAGTTATTTGATTTCGTCAAGTATTTAGTAGAGACTCACAGCTTTAACGACTGACAGTCGGTCGAAAAACAGCAGCAAGAGAAGCGAAATACCGTTAATATGAAATACGTACATTGTTATATAAATTACGACATAGAAATGATTTTCGGACAATGAGCAAGCCGGTCGAAATGTTTTTTTGTTCGCACTAAATTACTTTTTATAGTCAGACTCTATGTGCCAAGGTAATTATGGATGTTTTATGAGCTTCAATGATATTTGTTTCTAATGCGATTTATATTGAATCAAATTGATTAATAAATTTAAATAAAGTTAAAGTTGTCCACAATGTTTGGGTCACAACAATTGATCCGATGAAGAAAATCCCACGAAAGATGTTCGAAAAAATGACCAATAAAATTTTTTACTTGTATACTCATTCACGAAAGTGAATTAGTATATTGGTTTTGTACAATGTCCGTCCGTCCGTATGAACACATTTTAAGACTTAAAATTCGGAACACATACTCGTGAATATCCGAGATACAAAGTGTTAAAACTTGGCCCATCCGCCCACTAGGGGCGTGGCAAATCAGAAAATTCATTTTCCGTATGCCAGAAATCATATTAGTTCAAGAGCTAGAAAGCTGAAATTTGGAATGTAGAATCGCCCCCATTGCTGGCAAATCGGATAAAACTGTATCTCCTCGAGTTTTTAAACTAAAATGTGAGCTAATGTTATAATTGTATAAAGATTAACAAGTAAGAGGGCTCCAGTCGAGACTGCTCGACTAGGAGATACCCTGAACCCTCTAAGCTGATATTCTAATCATTCTGCATTTTTATGTACACATACATACACTGTGCTCTGCTAACTGCGCAGTAAGCAGCGACTACGCTTGGGGTGCGCTGTAGTGTGGGCAATATTATGAGAATTTATTTGTTAAATAATTTCTTTTGTAGACATTCGATCTTAATGATCAGATCAGAGCGTAATCATATGGTGAATATGTGTGTATATTCCAAAGCCCAAGTCTCTAGTA